GCACTTCAGTCCCTTCCTCTTGGCTCAGGGAAGTGTCCCCTGTGTCACCAGGTCTCTGGTGATTTCCTTGCAGAGCTGCCAGTGCCTGGCCTGGAAGCCTCGTCCCGTTGGGGTTTGGCCTTGTCCTGGTGAGAGCCAGCACGTGGTGGCAGGGTACAGTGATGGCACTGTCCGTGTGTTCAGTGTTTCCAGGACAGAGATGGAGCTGAAAATGCACCCCCACGCTGCTGCACTGACAGCAATCACCTACTCCACTGATGGTGAGGCTGCCTGAGGTGACAGTGGGGACGTGTGACCTCGGGGAACGTGGCTTGATGCTGCCTGGGTTTACCCTGACCTCCAGCTGCTCTGTGTCCTGGCCACCTGCCCAAAACCCCAGGGCCAGGGAGAGCTACAGAACTTGTCTCAGGGAGCTCTGGTGACTCTGCCAGCTGAGCACATGGTGGGTGGGACATGGGAGGTGCATTGGCTCTGGGATAGCCAAGGGATTTGGGTACAACAAACACCTTTGTTTTATGATCTTCTGTGGCTCTTCTTCAGTGTGGAGGTTTAATGGGTGTCTCTGAGACACCTCCATACCCAGCCCTTGACTGGGATGTTCCCAGCCTTGCACTGTTTCAGGACACTGGCATCCCATTGTCTTGGACCTTTCTCTTCCTACAAGAAGTATTCCATTTTTTCCTCTGCCAACAGGGGAAATGATCTTATCAGGGGGCAAGGATGGGATAGTGGCTATCAGCAGCCCTCGCACTGGGATGACCATCCATGTCCTGGCTGACCACAGAGGCTCCCCCATCACGGTTCTGCAGTGCACCAGGAAGCAGGTGAGACCTGGGAGCAAGTCCAGGTGTCACTGCATAGCTCTGGGAAGCAGCATGGTCAGCGAGTCTGCTTTGGTGTCCTTCACTTTTCTTCTTTGGAAATCTTCCTCCATTCCCTCCAGCAACTTCTGATCAGTTTTTTTCAGAGCTATATTCAGTGGAATAAAGCTCCACGTGTAGCAGGTGCAGCCCGAGTGAGGCTGCGCCTGCAGGGGGACCTTTGGTGGCAGTTGTTGACACCCTACACACAGGTGTGACATGAGCCTCTGCCACAGGCTCTTGGAGAGCAGCACCACTCAGGAGCAGCCCAGGCTGTGAGCTTGCAGCCCCTGTGCCCCCAAAAAGGCTCTTTGGCAGCCTGTACCAATCCTCTGTGGAGCTGGGAAGACTTGGCTGTGCAGCAGTGGATTGGTTTGAGTACCTCCTTTGTCCTCCTCTTCATGGAGAGTTTTGTTCCTTTGCACAGCAGAAATGGGAATAGTTTTCCCAAAGCTCTCAGGCTTTAAGATCATCTACACTGCAAGGCTGTGTTTCCTGGTAATCTGAGACTGAGGAAATCCTCCTTGATTTGAGATGAAGGACATTGTTAGGGGACAATGGTATAGGAAATAACTCCCTTAGGAGATACGCAGATCCAGAGGGTGTCGCAGGGAAGAGAATTGTGTCATTCAGACCAGGATTTGGGTTGGAAAAGTCCCTAAAAAATCATCAATTTCCAGCCCCCTGCCATGGACAGGGACCCCTCTCACTAGAACAGGTTGCTCCAAGCCCTGTCCAGTCTGGCTTTGGACACTTCCAGGGATGGGGCAGCCACAAACAGAGGTTAATCCTGGCTTTGTTCCCCTAGACACAAGCCCCATGTTCCCATGAGTTCCTGTCCCACTCTTTACTGTCCCCTTTCTTCAAAGCCTCTGTGCCCCCAGAATGACAGGGTTGAGTTTCTGCTCCACAGTACCACGACTTGGGGATGGAAGGAGGGGAGCTCTGGCTGGCCAGCAGCTCCGACCGCCGAGTCAGCGTCTGGGCCTCCGACTGGCTCCAGGACAAGTGTGAGCTCCTGGACTGGCTCAGCTTCCCAGCTCCTGCTGGCCCTGAGGTGAGTGTGGCACCTGCCAGGCCCTGCCTGCTCCTGGAATGAGGCTGGACACCAGCAGAGATGGAGGAGGGAGGCACAGGGCTCTGAGAGATGAGTGTGTGCTTAGGAAAGGCCTCTCTGTTCGTCCAGGTCACAGACTGTCTTGCCAATGCACCTTTTTGGGTGTGGAAAGAAAGTGTAGCAGTGCCAGACTGCCCTGGAGCACTGACTTTTAAGCATGAGGAGCCCTAAACTGCACCTGCAAAGAGCTGACAGCTCTGTGCCAGCAAAGCAGAGCCCGGGCAGCAGTGAGCACGGTGTGCAGGAGGGAGAGCTAATTATGAGCGTACTGCTGATTCTGACACTCCCGAGGAATGTGAATATTCTGAGCCAGGAGCACGGTGATGGCTTCCCAGAGCCAAGTACTCAGCCCTGTGTGTCTTTGCTGCTTGGCAGAAGCCTCTGGCTCCAGCCCAGGGCTAAGGTTTGGGCAGCAGGACACCTGCTAGAAAAGCAGGAGGATCTGTGTTGGAGAGGATGGAGATGTTCCCTGGTCCAGGTGACATTGGCAGACAAAAGGGAGCTGGGTGTTTTTGGGGGGCAAGAAGCAGTGGGCTCATACAGCAGCTGGGTTCTGTCAACAATTCTTCAGTTTATTAAAAAAAAAAAAAAAGGATTTCCTCTAGAAAGAAGCTCACTACAGCTCTTCCTACAGTGTGAAGGTTTGATCTTGCATCCACTGCTCAAGATCTGCTTCCTGGACCTTGTTTTTTCATGTTAAACTAATCCATAACCAAATCTCAGCTTCAAGCCCATGCAGAAATAATATCTCAGTGGGTATTCAACCTGCTGGACTCTCATGGGACTTGCTCCTACAACACTAAACTATTTGCTTCAGGTTTCCATGGCAGGGTGTGGTTGTTTTTTGCTTTCCCTGAGCCTGAGATGGGAATGCAAGAGGGAGGAAGCAGTGTCCACCATACTCATGTCCTACTGCTCAAACACTCACAGCCCTGGTGTTCCTCTGTGTTCTCTTTTCTCTCATAAGACAATCCAGCCTCAGTTTTGTTGCCTTTGGTTTTCCTCACCAGGGTCTGGACAGCCTCCCACCCAGCCTGGCTGCCTTCTGCCCTTGGGAACACGGTGTCCTGGTCTACGTGGGCTTTGGGCTGCAGAAGGAAGCGTTGTTCTACAGCCTGAGGAAGAAACAGGTACCTGTCACCTGCCATGGGCTGTGGGGACAGTGGGGCTGGCAGAGCTGCCCTGTGTGTTACCCTGGGTCACAGGGGTGGGGACAGTGGGGCTGGCAGAGCTGCCCTGTGTATGACCCGAGGTCAGAGGGATGGGGTGGGCTCTGGCAACTGCTCAGGGAAGAGATTTTCATCTTGGAAACTCCCGAGTGTGGCCCAGGTGAGCAGCAGAGCCCTGCTTCTGCCTCAGGCTGCATCCAGGCAGGCAGCCAGTCCCTGATCCCACTGGAGGGGAAAGCAGCTGCTTCCAGAGCATTAACACTCTCCCCATTGTCTCCTGGATGCCCGGGGCAGTTTTTGGAGCTATGCACCCTCAGCATCCCCATTACCATCCCCAGGGCTGTGGCTGCACAGCTCTGGGCGCTGCCTTCCCCCTTTGAGCTGCCGGTGTTTCTCTTGCTGGGCTGCAGGTGCTCAGGAAGATCTCCCTGCCAGCCTTTGCCACGTCCCTCAGCCTGTCCCCATCTGCACCTTTCATGGCCATTGGCTTCAGTGGTGAGTGCTGCGGGTGCCTGGGCCCCTCCTTCTTCTGCCAGAGGGGAAACAAGTGTCCTTATTCCTCCAAACAAGAGACATGTCCTCAAACCTGGGAGCTATGGTCCAGGGCAAGGAGAAACCTCCAGGAGACTTCCTGGGTCAGAAATGAGATGCATGAGGTCAATCCTGCTTGCCCACGGGCAGGGTTTGTCACTGGAATGACTTCTGGGATTCTGGGCAGTCTCCATTCTGTGGCTGCAGCCTCTGAGGCAGCAGGGACCTTCCCACAGCGTGGGGACAGGCAGGGCTGTCTGGCCTGTGTCACCCAGCTCAGTGACTCAACTTCCAGTTCAGCAGTGGGGAGAAAGCCTCGGGGTGACTGGAAAGAAGGCTTCTGGCAGGGAAAAGACGTGGAGAAGGACTGGGGATGACTGGAAAGAAGGCTTCTGGCAGGGAAAAGACGTGGAAAGAGGGTGGGAGGTGACCATGAACGGTGCTTCTGTCAGGCCTAATGACAGCGAAGACTGCCCCAGGGCGCGGGTCTGGAGGGTGATCGGGGCCAGCCAGAGCCTCCTGGCGCAGCCCTGAGCCGCTCCTCTCCCCAGACCGGCTGCTGCGGCTGCAGCCCTGCCCCGCCGGGGACCCGCAGGACTACGCCGGCCATGACGACACCGTGCACCTCTGCCGCTTCGCGCCCTCCGGCCGCCGCCTCCTCACGGCCTCCCACAGCGCCGTGCTCGTGTGGGAGCTCACGGGCGCCTGAGCCGGGCTGGCCCTGGACCAGCGCTGCTTCTCCAGCGGGGCCCGCCCCCGGACAGGCCCCGGCTCCGGCCGCAACCAGGCCCGAACCTCCGCCCCCACGGCTGCAGGGGCCGGCGGCGGCGGCTGGCCCGCCTGCGGCCCCACCCGGCCCTGGAATGTGTTTCACGGCCCCGTTCGTTGCCGTTAAATGTTCCGTTTTCATTAATAAACCATCGAAAGACGAACGCTGGAGGTCTCGGTGTGCTTGCCCCGCTAGGGGGCGCCGCGCCGCTCTGCCCCGCTCTGCGCCGCCGCTCGGTGGTGCGGCCGGAAGTGGGGGGGGGGAGGGCCGGGGAGGCGGTGGCGCCGCCATGAAACGGGACGTGCGGATCCTCCTGCTCGGGGAGGGTGAGGGGCGCGGGGGGCACGGGGGAGGGGGAGGCTCCTCCAGCTCGGGAAGGGAGAGGGAGCACGGGGATGCCGGGGGAGAGAGTTCTCCTGCGGGAGAGGGGCGAGGGCAGGTGGGGACCAGGTGGGCCCCCCCCCGTCACTGGCAGGACGAGGGGAGAGACCAGGCCCGTCCGTGGCCCCGTGCCCCGTGGGTGTCATTGCCAGCAGCCCTGGCTTCGGTCGTGGCTCCCACCTGCCGCTGTCCCCTCAAGCTCTGCCATGCCGGTGCCAATGTCAACGTCCTCCCTTTATTTCCTAGCCCAGGTGGGGAAGACGTCCCTGATCATGGCTCTGGTGGGAGAGGAGTTTCCTGAAGAGGTGAGTGTGGAGGAGACGCGCACACCGCCAGCCCGGGCCCCCTCGCTGCGTGGGACAGCTCTGTCCCCAGTGTCCCCGCTGGAGATGGGGGTGGCTGGGAGGTGCTTACAGCTCCTGAGGCTGTGACAGCCGCGGGACTGGTTCAGATGAGGTCAGTGAGGACCTCACGGAGCTCCAGCTGAGGTGGTGTTTTCCTCAGTTTGTGCTCTGATTCCGACTTGGGAGCTGATCCTGCCTAGCAGCTCTTTCTGCCCTGAGGAGGGTGTTGGTACCTCCTAGGGCCCCACTTGCTGCTGCTGGGGGTCTCTGTCACCAGCACTGCAGGGCTGGCTCCACCACAGAGCCCTTGGAAGGGGACAGGCCCCATTCCCTGCCTGTTGTACCCTCTGGAGATGGCTCTCGTGCTCCAAGCCAGGCCAGCTGTGAGCAGCAGCATCCAGCCAGCCTGTGTCCCTCCACAGCTTGCTGTCCCAGCACAGTTTGGATAGGGAAATGGCATCAGTCTGTCCAGGCACATTTCCCTGTGCCTCAGATGGTTTCTCCTGCTGCCCATGAGCAGCTGGTGCCCTCCATGGTGATGGGCATCGAGCTCCTTCCCTGCTCCTAGCCCAGCCCAGACAATCAACTCAGCGCTGCTCCCAGAGGAGCCCAGGGAGTGCCCTGGACTTATCTCCATCGGGATCAGGAGATTGTGTGAGGGAGGCAGGTGGAAGTTCCACCTCGAGGACGCTGCCTGTGCAGGGGTCTGCTGCAGCGTGGTGGGCCAAGAGCGATCTGTGATCCACAGCTCATCCTGCCCTAGCAGCAGCCATGTTGGGATCTGAAGTCCCTTGTCACCTGTCCTGCTGGCTGCCTGTGGCTGGATGGGGTGTGCTGGCTTTACAGGTGCCCCCCCGGGCGGAGGAGATCACGATCCCGGCCGATGTCACTCCTGAGAAGGTCCCCACACACATAGTGGACTACTCAGGTAGGGCCCTTCCCTGCCTGGCTGAGGAGATTAGGAAGGGGTGCCCCTGCCTGGGCAGGTGGTGATGGCTTCATTCCCCTTCCAGAGTCAGAGCAGACGGAGGAGGAGCTGCAGGAGGAGATCGCCAAGGTGAGCAAGGCTGGCCAGGATGGGAACAGGACACTGTGGTCCCCAAGGGATACATGGCTGCTCCCTCCCCTCCCCTTTAGCCACCCAGAGAGGCACAGGCAGTTGGTTATCCACGGATTAATGCTCCTGGTTTGTTTAGAGGCTTGTTTAATCCTGCTCTGTTTGTAAGCTGTTGTGTGTGGCTTGTCCAAGCCCTCCGGGGAGCCTCCAGAAGGCGAGCAGCGGGGGGCAGCTCTCTGCCCACGGGAGGTGGAGGAGGCTGTGGAGCAGATGTTATGCTCTGAGCCTCAGGACATTCCCCACAGACTCAGAAGAGGGAAAAGCAGTTTCTGGGTTTGGGCAAGACCCCTGCTCCCTGCATTAAAACCCCTGTGGCTGTCTGATGAAGCGGAGGCACAGAGGAGTTAATTTGGGAGCTGGAGCCCCTGGCGAGCACTGAGCAGGGAGGGATGAGGGGAGCCCTCAGAGCAGCCATGGAGGAATAATTAAGTTGTCTGTCTGGGGTGGATCCAGCTGCTCTTTGCCCTGGGATTAACCTTGACTGTGCAGACATGAGGACCTTTTAATTATGGATAATAAAACCATCTCTCTCACTTGAGCAAAGCTATTTAATCTCCCAACCCGGGTGGCTCACGGCTGAGGAGGTGGGCATGGGGGTCCTGCTCCCTCCACCCAGACAGCAGGAGTACACAGAAGCTTTAAATGGCTCCAGGAAATCCTGCCTAAACCCTTGTGTGTCCTCGGATTAGCATTAAACTCTCTCCTGAAAGGACCAGTGATCCCTCCTGTCTGCTTCCGACAAAGCCTCGGTGCTGGCCCTATCTGCACGGGGTCAGGAGGGGAGGAGGGCTGGGACAAGGGTGGTGTGGGAGGGGGATCCTGAGGCAGAGGAGCTGCTCCAGCAGCTCGTGGGCTCGTGCAGAGGGCGACCCAGCCAGGGGCTGTGTACGTGTCCGTGCTCACGTGCACTCGGCCGCTGTGTTTCCCTGGCAGCTCAGGCGGCATTCCCTGCTACCAAACATCCCCTGCTGTCAAACATCCCCTGCTGCCACGGCATTCCCTGCTACCAAACATCCCCTGCTGCCACGGCATTCCCTGCTACCAAACATTCCCTGCTACCAAACATCCCCTGCTGCCACGGCATCCCCTGCTACCAAACATCCCCTGCTACCAAACATCCCCTGCTGCCACAGCATCCTCTGCTGCCATGAGTGTGGCAGGGACCCCTTCATCACTCTCTGCTGCTTCTCTTGCAGGCCAACGTGGTCTGCATGGTGTATGATGTCACCAAGGAGGCCACCATTGACAAGGTAATGGGTCCCTATCATGACCCCGCTCCAGCAGCAGGGTCAGAGGGGGTTGGCCGTGCTGGGGTTTCAGTGCTGCCCTGTGGTGTGGGCACGTACTGATGGCCCCCAGCTCTGTGGGATTTTGGGTCAGACTCTGGCAAGCAGAAGCTGAGCTCTGCCCAAGGTTGCTCCCTCACAACAGGACAAGAGGCTTGTTGCATCCTGGTGCATCCAGCATCTCTGAGCCTTCTCTGCCTGCTGGTGTGAGGGAATGCCAGGGAGCAGATGGCTGCAGGACCCTGGTCCTGCCTGCCTGGGAGCTGCCTCTCCCTCCCCACCCTGTGCTGAGAGCCCTTTCCCTCTGCTCACCTTCCAGATTCGCACAAAGTGGATCCCCATGGTGAACGGGGGAATAGAAAAGGGATCCAGGTACTGTGTGGGGTGTGATCTGTGGGTGCAGAATTGGGGCATTCTGGGGGCTGTGGGGTGCCCATCACCCTCACCTCCTTCTCAGGGTGCTGAGAGCAAACCAGCTTTGTGATTTGGTCCAGGCCAGGTTGAATGGGACTTGGAGCTGTGGTCTAATGGGGATGTCCCTGCTCATGGCAGGACATGGGATGAGATGAGCTTTAAGGTCCCTCCCAACCAAAGCCATTCCAGGACGGTGGCCTGTGGCCAGACCACTTAGAGAAGAAGCACATGGGGACTTTTCTACACCAGAGATCAGTTGAGGCAGGGGGTCACTGAGGAGGGATCCTTCTCCCCCCTTGATCTCTTCTCAGCCAGACAGGGAGAGGCAGCTGCCAGGGGGATCTGGGAGCACAGAAGCTTCAGTCTGTGTGTGGATCTCTTGGACAGAAGGTTGTGCTGGATTAAAGGCAGCAACATATTGTTGCTGGGTGAAAGCATAAGCAGGATCAGGCAGGCTCTTTCTCCAGATGGATGCTCCCGGCTATGGGAGGCAGGAAAGCTGCTCTGGACCTTGCAGAGGAGACTTGGGGCCTCCCTGACCTGCCCATGGGAGCACCAATGGCTGGGATAGTGCTGGGACCAGGAGAGGGGTGGCCTCACTTGTGCTCTGTCTATTTCCTAGAATCCCCATTATTTTGGTGGGAAACAAGTCTGACCTGCAGATGGGCAGCTCCATGGAGGTCATCCTGCCCATCATGAACCAGTTCTCGGAGATTGAGACCTGTGTGGAGGTGAGGGAGCTGAAGGGGATGTGCAGAGCCTCCCTGAGGGGTTGGAGTGCTGGTCTGGTGGGAGTCAGGGAGCCTCTGTGCTCCTGGAGAGCTGCCCTGGTGATGTTGCTGTGCACAGATCCCCGTGTCCAGGGGTTGAGAGCCTGTCCTTTGGGTTTTCTGTCCTTTACCCCTTGCAAGGAGCAGCTTTCTGTGTCTGCCCTCTGTGGCTCTCCACACTGGCCCTGTTGGTTCCGGGGCTGTGGAATGGGCACAGCAAAGCCAGAGCAAAACCCAGGAGATTGTCCCTTTTGATTTTTCCTCATGGTGGACAAATGTTGCTCTGGGCTTTGAGGCACAGCTCCTGCCCTTTTCATCAGGGCTGTCTCTTCCTCTGAATCCCTAGTGCTCTGCCAAGAACCTCAAGAACATCTCTGAGCTCTTCTACTACGCCCAGAAAGCTGTGCTGCACCCCACTGCCCCGCTCTATGACCCAGAGGAGAAGCAGGTGGGCTCTTGGACGAGTCTCCTTCCCAGCACACTGCTCTGGGCTGGAGTTTTTGGAATGGAAGTGGAGAGTTGGGGCTGGCACAGACAGGCCAAGGGAGCAGTGCCCATCTCCTGTGCCCTGTACAGCCAGCTGGGCACACAGACACCTGCAAAGACTCGGGTGTGTTGGGGCAGAAGCCATCATGCTCCAGGCTGTGTGTTGGTTCTGAAGGGAAGGTCTGGAAGAAAAATTCCCCATGGATTGTCCTCTCTGACTTCAGATTGGATATTAGGAAAAATTTCTTCATGGTAAGACTGGTCAGGGACTGACACAGGTGGAATGGTGGAGTCACCATTCCTGGAAGGATTTGAAAGCTCTGTGTATGTGGCACTTGGGGACATGGGCTAGTGGTGGCCTTGGCAGTGCTGGGGGAACAGCTGGATTCAGATCTTGGAGCAGTTTTCCAACCTTAATAATTCCATGATTCCCACCTCCGAGGTGGCTATGGTACTGGTCTAGAAGTGCAGGAAGGGAACCCACTGTGTGTGGGGCTGCAGGAGGAAGGCCCAGGCTGTGGCTGATGTCCTGCCATTGTCACCATGGTTGGTCCTTGCAGCTCAAACCCGCCTGTGCTCGAGCACTGACCCGGATCTTCAACCTGTCAGACCAGGACAACAACCAGGTCCTCAGTGATGATGAGCTCAACTACTTCCAGGTAGGGTGGCTGCAGAGCTGAAGAGTTCCCCAGGGCCTGGGATTCCCTTTCCAGCAGGCATCTGCCCCTCTCCTGGCACAGCCATCCCGTACCTGTTTGGTGTTTCTGTGGCACAGCTAAAGCACCACAGGGTGCATCTCTGAGCATGTAGGGTTCCATCTTTCTAAGTTTGCTCTGCCATGGGAAGACCAGGAGGCTCTGGAGATGCTGAGAGTCCTAAATTATTTGGATGCTGAAGAACAGAGGTTTGGTCAAGGCCTCAGGTAGAAATCCGTGATCTGGGTGGATTTTCCCTCCCTGAAACCCCATGCTTTGCCAGGGGAGAGGGAATCTGGTGAGACAGGATTGTGCTCTCTGAGTGCTTTGCTGACAGTGGTCTTCATTCTCTTGGGAGGCAGAAGTCTTGTTTTGGAAACCCCCTGGCCCCCCAGGCCCTGGAGGATGTGAAGATGGTTGTGTGGAAGAACACGACGGATGGGGTGCAGGACAACGGCCTCACCTTGAACGGTAACAGCCCGAGGGCTCCCTGCTCCTTTCCGGGGATGGGGGGGACCCAGCTCCTTCAGCACATCCCAGGGGGCCCTGTCCTTGGCCTGAGCCTCCTGGCTCTCATTCCAAGCCTAATTAGTCCCTCTTATTAAAACAAGCCTGCTGTGGCTGCTAGATCTCTCTGTCCCAGTAGTCTGCTTTCCCAGGGAAAGCATGGCTGAGAAGTGGATCCCTGAGGCTGAACTGACTGCGCTGTGGCTGAGCCCCCTGATCTCTCCTGCAGGCTTCCTCTTCCTCAACACCCTCTTCATCCAGCGGGGCCGGCACGAAACCACCTGGACCATCCTGCGCCGCTTCGGCTACGACGATGAGCTGGAGCTGACAGATGATTACCTGCACCCACAGTGCGTGTCCAGGGCTGGGCAGGGGGCACATTCCCCCCCGCAAGGCTCAGCATCCCCAGCACCTTGGCTGGGTCCTTCGTGCACCCAGGAGCTGCTGTGGGCCCTTAGGTCAGGGTCAGGTTCGCAGTCCTCGCCTTCCCCTTGGGCAGGAGCTGACACGTGGGAGTGGGGACAAGTACAGCAGGCCTTGGGGCTGCTGATTTAGGCCGACGGGAAGGTGGGGAATGAAATCCCAGTCTTGCCTTGACATCAGCAAAGGGTTCTTGTAGGCTGCTCTGTCCCTGGCTGAGCGAGGCAGAACGGCTCTGTCGGGAGCAGTGAGCTGTCAGCACGGCCCTCACGGCTGATTGTGCAGCTGCTGTCTCTTCTCTGCTCCCTGCCACTCTGAAGATGGGGAGCTGGCAGGAATGGAAGAGTTTGGCTTGGGAGCTGCCTCCTCCTCTTCCCAGAGAGTAGGCTGCAGGGAGGTGACAGGGACATACTGGTGGATGGCACCCTGGGGCACTGCTGTGCTCTACTGAAGCCCTGGGCATGAGGCAGAGCAAGGGCACAGCATCTTCTGGGCTGCTGGGGATGTGCCAAGGAAAGGCCACTGTGCATCCTCAGGGGATTCTCCCCAAAATGAGGGGGCTGTGTCAAGGAATAACCAGGCCTGGAGGCAACTGCTGACCTTGAGCAGGGAGGGAGTGGGAAGCTGTGTCCTCTGAGTGAGATGTGCTCACACACTGCCCTTTGTTCTGGGCTTGAGGAGGCCGATTTGGGTGTCTGAACTGGAGAATAAGGTATGAAAGATAAAAGAGAGGTTTAGGTTGGGTAGTAGGAAAAATTTATTGGCTGAAAGGGTGGTCAGGCACTGGCACAGCTGCCCAAGGCAGTGGTGGAGTCCCCCCATCCCTGGAGGGATTTAAAGCCATGTAGATGTGGCACTTGGGGACATGGGTCAGCAGTGGTCTTGACAGTGTTGGAACAGTCGGACTCGATCATAGAGGGGTTTTCCAACCTAAACCATTCCATGATTTCCCCAACAGGTTCCGTGTGCCCCCTGGCTGCTCCACAGAGCTCAACCACTTGGGATACCAGTTCCTGCAGAGGCTCTTTGAGAAGCACGACAAGGTGGGCAGCAGGGGAGGAGCTCCAGGGGAGTGGATGCTCTTCTGGGCCTGCACACGTGGGCACAGGTGCTCTCCTGACCACCTCTCTGTGCCAGGGAGCCCACAGAGCACTGGGGAAGGGCTTTCCTCGGCCACAGCATTCCCCCTTTGGAGGTTTTGGGAGCAGAAAGTGGCCACAGTGAGCTGGAGGTAGTCTAATGGCCTATCAGGGATGTGGGGTTGTGGTCACTGCTCTTGACCAGAGGGCAGTTTAGACTTCGGGGTCTGAGTTGGCATCAGGCTGGCACGGCCCTTGTAGTGCCTGGCTGCAGCAAGCAGGGAAGCAGGGAGGAAAGTGGGCAGGGAGGCAGGAAAGCGGGCACAGCTGCTGGCCAGCAGCCATGGACCAGCATCTGCCAGCCTGGTGGAGGGCTGCCAGGCTGGAGAGAGGGAGAGAAAGCAACACATTTGTGCCAAACTCAGGCTCTTGGAGAGGGGGAGAAGGGATGTATTGGATCTGCATGCACCTGCTCGGACTGGCTATTCAGATGTTGATGTGCATCTGGGTATGGCAGCTCTGTGACAATGGGGAGTGGCTCAGGAATGGCAGCAGAGAGTGGACACACGTCCCTGTGTATCCAGGTCAGCTCTGTGGCCATGGGGAATGGCAGAACTGGATGGATGTGCATCCCTGGGTGCCCAGCTGCCAGCAGGTTCCCTTCAGGCACAGCAGCCTGAGTGCTGAGTTGGCCTCTGGAAGGCCACGCTGGACTGATGCGGGCTGCTGTGGGACAGCTGGCTCCAGGAATGCCAGGAACAGCAGCTCAGGGCTGTGGGGTGGGCACGGACAGGTCGTGCCTGGTTGCAGCTGCAATCCCAAAACATGTTTGTTGTTGTGCAGTGCTGGCAGTCCCTGAGGCACGGGCTCTGTGAGCTCGCCCAGCTCCGGCCTCGCTGCGGTCGATCGATTCCTGCCATTGGCAGCATCCCTGTGATGTTCCACAGCAGGGAGGTGGCTGCTGTGGCAGGGCTGGCTCCTGCCTCCCCTGGTGACTCCCTGTATTTTGGCAGGACCAGGATGGAGCCCTGTCGCACACAGAGCTGCAGAACTTCTTCAGTGTGTTCCCCTGCGTGCCCTGGGGCCCCGAGCTCTACAACACGGTATGCACCACTGATAAAGGCCTGCTTTCCCTGCATGGATTCCTCTGCCAGTGGACGTAAGCTCAGTCCCTCTCCCTGGCCCTTGGTCACATCCCTCAGCCCTTGCTCACCCTGCTGGCCTGCTCTGTCTCTCCAGGCTCGTGGCTTACCTGGACATACGGCACTGCCTGGAGTGTCTGGGCTACTTGGGCTACCCCATCCTCTCGGAGCAGGACTCCCAGACACAAGCCCTCACAGGTACAGCCATGCCCTCCCCTTCTGTCACAGCTGAGGTCCCTCCTGGCTCTCACTAGCCTCTCTCCTGCCAGTGACCCGGGAGAAGAGGATTGACCTGGAGAAAGGGCAGACCCAGAGGAATGTCTTCCTGTGCAAGGTGCTGGGAGCACGGGGCGCAGGCAAGTCCGCCTTCCTGCAGGCCTTCCTCGGCAGGAGCCTGGCGGTGAGTGGCTGTTCCCTGGCTGGCCATGCTCCCAGGGTGGAGCAGGAGGCACAGCTGGGGCTCCTGGAGCGATCTGTCCCCTGGTGGCACCTCCCTGCCTGTGGCCAGGCCCCCTCCCTGCGCATGCTTCTCACCCCCTCTGTGCTGGTGGTGTCGGTGTCCTTCATCCTGGCTGATGCAGTGGGGCTGCTCCCTCTGCTTGTCCCGAGGGGCTGTGTCTTTCTCCAGTCTGACCACAGCAATGCTGACTTTCCCTGCCTGTAGGAGCAGCCCCACATCTCATGACAGGCCCTGGCTGCCCTTCAGGTAGCTGTCAGGCCAGGAGGGCTTGGGGCAGTGAAACACTGTCCCTCACGCAGCACTGCTCGTGTCTCCACTACCTGAGACTGTTTTCCTTGGTGACAGGCCCAGAGGGAGAATCCAGGACAGCCATCCCTCCACACCATCAACACAGTGCAGGTCAATGGCCAGGAGAAGTACCTCATAGTAAGTGTGGGAGAGCAGGGAATTGTGCCGTGTCCCCATATCCTGGCACACGGGGCTGGGCTGTGGCTGTGCTGGCACTGTCCATGTGCTGATTGAGGAACAGCTGAGCCCCTGGGACGCTGCTGTACCACACCCCTGTCCCCTCTGCTCCAGCTGTGTGAGGTCAGTGCTGACACCACGTTCACGAAGCCGTCGGACACAGCCTGTGACGTCGCCTGCTTCATCTACAGCCTGAGCGACCCCAAATCCTTCAGCTACTGTGCCAGCATCTATAAGGTAGCTGGCAGGGACCCTGGGGGACTTTACGGGACTCCTGGGTGACATCAGGCTTCCTATTTGACTTCACCAGGGGAGTGGGGGACATCAGCCTTAGCGGCAGGGGTTGGTCCTGATCCCCTGGCTGGGGTTTCCCTGTCTCTGCAGCAACACTACCTGGACAGCCAGATCCCCTGTGTCTTCGTGGCCTCCAAGACAGACCTGCCAGAAGCCAGCCAGCAGCCAGGCCTCTTCCCAGCCGAGTTCTGCTACAAGCACTGCCTCCCTCCACCCTTCCTCTTCTCCTGCCACAGCCAGGGACCACCCAGCACTGCTGTCTACACCAAACTGGCCACTGCTGCCACCTTCCCGTTAGTATCCTTCCCATGGAGGGGCTCTGCTGGGAGCACAGCCTGGGGAGGGGCCTGTGTCCCAGCCCTGCCTCTGCCACATTGCTTTTGTTTTGGTTTCTTTGCAGCTTTTGTTGTCATCAAGTGATCTTGGTGTCATCTAGGGCATGCAGTGACAGGACAAGGGGGGATGGCTTTAAGTTGAAGGAGGACAGGATATTATGGGATATTGGAAAGGAATTGTTCCCTGTGAAGGGTGGGGGGTGGCTGGCACAGGGTGCCCAGAGAAGCTCTGGCTGCCCCTGGATCCCTGGAAATGTCCAAGGCCAGGCTGGACAGGGCTTGGAGCAACCTGGAATAGTGGAAGATGTCCCTGCCCATGGCAGGGGGATGGGATAGGACAGGCTTTAAGGTTCCTTTCCAATCAAACCATTCCAGGATTCTGTGATTCTGTGATCTGCTTATACAAATAATTGAAACAGAAAAGCCACTTCTTCCTCTAATTGCAGAGGGGGGAGGTTTTCTTCTGCCTGTGTGTATATCTCTGGCAGATTTAGTAGATAGATCCTGCCACAGGAGTGTTTATTTTTGAAGCCTAAGATAAAAAATGCTGAAGAGGAGTAGCCAGCTTAGTTTGCCAAGGCCCACGGGGGGGGTGGCAGCTATTTTCTCCCGATGAGATGGATCAGACTGAAAAAGAGGTCAGTGAAGCGAGACCTCTGTCACACAGCCTCCCTTTGGGAGGAACTGCCCCCCAGAGGGCCTGGAAACAGCACCAGGCTGGTCACAGGAGGTGAGGGGGGCTGTGGGCAGGGAGGAGGATCCCTGTGAGTGGAATTGCTGTGCTCCAGGGCTGGGAAGGGCGAGCACAGCTCCAGGGGCTGAGCCCTGGCGAGGAGAACGTGTGGGAGCATTGGGAGGCAGGATGGGATTACTAGTGAGTAGTTTTCCCTCCAGCTTCTTTTCAATAAACAACTTTATTTTTAGAGCTGACGCTTTTTTTTTCCCTCCCCTCTGCAGTATTAAAATTTAAATATTCTTAATATATCTTAGGGTATGTGGTATAAATAAATAACAGCGTAATGGAGGGCTGGGGATTGGCTGTGCTCCCCCGATGTAGTGGGGAATGAATTATGGATGGAAGGAGAGAGAGGAGCACATTAGTGCAGGACAGCACGTGTTTGGGAAGGGAATGTGTACGCTGGGGCAGCACCGGGCCCTGTCCCTCGCTGCCCTTTGGTCTCTGTCACCAGTGTCCCTGTGGTGGCATCCCGGCTTTCCGTGCACTGGGAGTTGGAAAGGCAGCTTGACCTAGAAAGGCAGATAACCTGTCTAATTATTTAGGTGTTGGAGAGCTGTTTCCAGGGCAGGGGAGGGGACAGGCACATCCGTCCCACAGCCCTCCCTGGGCTTGATGGTGACGTGGGGTGACGAGTGCTCCACCTGCAGGGACAGGGGAATCTCTCCGATTCTCCCTGGGCTGTTCCCCCCAGTGCTGGGCTCACCCCCTGGCACCCCCAGCCTCCCTGTGTGGGGTAGGAGCAGGGATAGCCACACTCACCGGCCTCTCCTGTGTTTCCTTGCAGCCACCTGAACGCCTTGGAGCTGGGAGTTGCGTCCTTCTGGCTGCGGGTGGCGCTGGGGGCGGCGGTGACAGCGCTGGTGGGCTTCACCCTCTACCGGCTACTGGCCAAGAACAAATGAGAGCCACCCTCCACCCCGTCCTCCCTGTGATACCAGCTCCCCATCCCCAGCGACGCCCAGTGAGGGGCCTGTCTCAAGCTGGCCCTTGGTAGGAAATCCTCCTTTGCCCCCGGCTTGGATTGCAGGACCAGTGAAGCCAGACCTCCCAGCACCAGCAGGATCCATCCCTGGCACTGGCCAGCCTCAGCCTGTGGCCTCCTGGCCCCTGTGGCCACAGGGCAGGCAGCTTTGCCAGGAGGGCTCTGCCTCACCAGCAGCTGGAGGATCGCCCTCGTCTTTTATTTTTTCCAATTTTTTTTAACGCTTGTTTTTAAGCTCAAACGTGAGTGTTTTGGTGTCTGTTGGACTGGGCACATCCCCTCCCCAGAGGGCTGTGCTGGTGCCCTCAATTCTGCCTCTGGGAGCTCCAGCAGCAGCTGAGCTGTCAAATGAGCTCATGGCTGCAGCTCCCTGGGGCACATCTCCATCTCCTGTCCTGGTTTCCCTCAGCCAGTGCTGGGAAAGGCAGCCAGGGAGGGAGGGCCAGGCACTGACACCCCCAGGCCCAGTGTTTGGCCCCTGATGCTGGGACACAGTGGCTGCTGTCCCGGGCTGAGTGGGGACAGTGACAACCAGGGTTTGTCCTGAGCTCCTTTCTGCTGTTTCTACACAAGAATCTTGTGAGTCCTGTAGCATGCCAGGCTGTGGGTCCATCCACTCTCCTTTCCTGCCTCCTGTATGGCCCGTCCCCTCCCCACCCCTGGCCACCAGTATTCATGGCCACCAGTATTTGCAGGGCTCTGGGAGCCCTGGTAAGGACTGGGAGGGTGTTGGATGCCCATTGTGTGCCCAGTCTTTCCCTGGCAGCGCTATCACTGAGCTGATGCCACACTGTGCCCTAGGCCTTGTGTCCTGCTGTCCTCTCTGTGGGGCTCTATCCAGAGAGCGAGGCTCTGGGCATTGCATCTCCTGGCTTCACTGGAAGCTCCTTCCTGTCCTGTCTCCTGTCCCCTGCCCACACCTGAGCTGGTGTCAGCTGCTGAGGCTGAGCTCAGCTCCCGTTGGGGACAAAGCCCCACAGTGTCCCTGTCTGCAGGTTCCAAAGAGCAAGACCAGCACCCATCCCTGAGTTCCTGTCCTCCCTGGATCAGCCCCTGGCTGTGTCACCAGCCTGGCCTTCCCCAGCACGCTCAGGGTTGGTCTCTTTGCTTGCAGCTGTGGGGGCAGCTCCTAGGTAGCACCCAGAGCTGCTTTTTCTGTGTTTTGTCTATTTAAATGTTTTATCATGCTCTGGAGCCAGTGAGGGGGTGGAGAAATCACTGAGCAGGACCAGTGTCTCTCCCAGGGACAGCCCCAGAGGGTGGTGTCCCCATCCTACTGTCCCTAGGGCTGGCCGGGTGTCCCTGCCTGTGCTGGAGCTCCTCTGCTAGTCGGGCACCCACTCACGGTTGGCCCCTGGTCCCTGGCACTGCCAGGGCCTCATCCCTCGTGTTTCACGTCCCTCTCTGTGCCCACTGTGCGTGGCTCTGCCAGCTGGGCCCATGCCTGGTGTCTCCCTGCTCCACATCTGCTGGAGCTCTAATGTTTTAGATTTGTTCTCTACAGCAAAATAAATTTTTACACACCTTGCGCTTGCACACAGTGCCCTGTGTCACGTGGGGAGCAGGAGCCTCATCCCAGCCCGGGCTGCACAGAGCCTGGGGCCTCTGTGGGCTGCAGTGGGAGCAGGGCCACCCCCAGAGCCTGGGCTGCCCCGTTTGAGGGCACTTACAGGGATTTAGGGCAGGAGCAGAAGCCTGGTGTGGTGGGACGAGGCTTGGGGCTGGCCAGGGCTCCTTGGTGCTTGGGGACACAGATCCTTGTGCAACAAGTGCCAGCCAGGGCGGAAACACAGGCAAGGAGGTGATGGATACCGTGGCTCTGTGCCCGGGGTCCATGGGACGTGGGAGGCTTTGGCTGCCCTGGGATCTGTGGATCTCTGTGCCCATCCCCGTGTGGGGTTTGGGGCTCCCCACTTCCCCTACAGACACTTTCCCCCTGCACCCACCTCTCCCAGGGCTGTGCCACCTCCCCTCCCTGCTCCTGTTTTCCCATGGCAGCTTTTCCCTCAGCTATTTCTGTCTCTGCAGCCTCAGCCACGGGCGCTGGGCACAGGGGAGGTGGGTGCAGCCAGAGAAAAGGATTTTCCAGAGCCTCTGCGCTGACACTGGGTGGGGTGGAACTGCTCCCACATGTGAGGGATCCCTCTGGGCTGTGGGGTCGAGAGGAGACCCTTCCCACACGACCAGTCAGGGGACAGGGATGGGGGGACACAGTTGGTGCTGCCGTGCCGGGCAGAGAAGGCGATTCCAAGGCAGGCGGGACACGCGGTCCTCCCTGGTGACTCCAAACCAGGCTGGATCCCACGGGAGTGTGGGCCCACGTGCCCTGATGTGTATTAATAGCACATTGTGCTGGGACAGACACGGGCGTGGGGCAGGGGTCACGCGTGGCAGGGCCATGGCCACACACAGTCCCCAGGGAAGGAGCCTGGGAGGGCCGGGAAGCCCAGAGCTCCCTGGGCACCCTCAGTGGGGCTGAGCCGTGGCTCTGGGAAGTGAGGACCGTACCAGGGATGGGTCCTAGGGACACCCCTGCCCTGCCTGGGGAGCCAGGGGAGCCTGGCCTGGGTGACACTGGGCATGTCACATAAAGCGACCCAGTGCCAGGCTGTTCCATGAGCACTGTGCTGCGGCAGGGCACAGCAGTGGAGGCTCTGTGGCCCCTGTGCCATGGGGGACTGTGCTGGCCTGTGGGTAAAGGGGCAGGATGGAGGGAATGTTTGCAGTCACCTGTGCCAGATTCAGCAGGTACCTGATGCTGGCATGCTGGTGCCCATTCTGGGATGATGGTGTCGATTCTGGGATGATGGTGCCCATTCTGGGATGCTGGTGCCCATTCTGGGATGCAGGTACTGTACCAGGATATGGATTCCTCTAGAAGGGTGCAGCTGCAAAACCATGTACCAGGATGTGGGTACTGGAATACATGTACCTGTATTGAGATGCAGTACTGGAAATGGAATACAGGTTCCCATTCCAAGATGCAGATCCTGTACTGGGTGCAGGGATCACACCAGGATCCAGGTCGCATACCAGGGTGTGAGTGCTGAGACATGGGGAGCAGGATGCAGGTATCCACACCAGGATACACAGAGCTGTTCTGGGATGCAGGTACTGGGCCAGGATGTGGAGACCAGTACTGGGATGTGGGTACCAATACTGGGATGTAGATACCACACTGGGATGCAGGTATCACGCCAGGATGTAGTTACCATATTGGGAGTGGGTACCAGTACCAGGATGCCCACAGCTGGACCGGAATGCAGGTTCCCATACTGGGATGCAGGTTCCTGTACTGGGATGCTGGTTTTTGTACTGGCATGAAGGTTTTTGTATTGGGATGCAGGTTCCCATACCGAGATGCAGGTACCTGTACCGGGATGCGCGCAGCCGTACCGGGCTGCCGCCACCATCCCATGCTGCGAGCGCCAGGTGCCGGCTCCCTGCCCGTGCCCTGGGCCGTGTCCCGGCGCTGCCGGCGGGGCGGGGCGGGGCGGGGCGGGTCCCGGTTCCCCGCGCGGCGGCGGCGGCGGCGGGGGGTGCGGGGAGGGGGGGGCGCTGCGCCGCGCGCTGCGGCGGGGGGGGCTCCCCTCCGGGCCCCCCCCCCCCCCCCCCCCCCCCCCGCCCCCCCCCCCCCCCCCCCCCCCCCCCCCCCCCCCCCCCCCCCCCCCCGCCCCCGCCGTCGCCCCGCTGCCATCGGCGGCTCCCGGCGCCGCCGCTCGCCGCTCGCTCCCGGGCCCGCCGCAACGCGGGGCTGGCGGGGAGAGCCGCCCCCGCCGCCGCCCCCGCCGCCCGCGCCGCTCCCCTGCCCGGCTCGCCGGCCCCGGGCGCGGGGGAGCGGCGGAGCCCTCCGCCCGCCGGGTGCATGGACAGGAGCTCCCTGCTGCAGCTCATCCAGGAGCAGGTGAGGCCGCCCTGGGGGCACCGGGCACGGGGCTGCGCTCGGGGGGGGCCGCCGGACACCGGCCATCGCTACCGGGGCGGGGATGCTCGCACGCACCGGGCACGGCTGGCGCGCAGCAGGCAGCGCTGCCCACCCAGGGCGGCCAGCGCGGCCGTGCCACTCCTCGCCTGCGTCCCTCGGTGCCCCTCATCACCGGCCTGGGGGATCGACCCCCACCTCGTGCCGCTGAGAACGCGCCACTCATCTCACTTGTGGCCTCTCCCTCCGTCAGCGCCGGGTCGGATCCTGCCCGGTGCGCCCTCAAGGACGAGGGGTGCTGGGCACGGAGCCCCAGCGCGGCCGGCGGGGTCTGGGTGCCGGGTGGAGCCCCGGGGCTGCCGTGGGCTCGGTCCCGCCGGCGAGGCGGGGGTCTGCACCCACCCCCGTGACCTGATTGCGGGATGAGGCCGTGGAGCATCAACGCTGCCTGGCGTGGGGCTCTGCTCGCGGCGCGATGGAGCCTCGAGAGGTTTCCAGGCGCTGCGCCCCGGCCCCCACCAGTCCCCGCTGAGCTCCATCGCCTCGTCCCTCCATCCCCAGCCAGCCCTGGCCCAGCTGGCGGCTCTCCCCTGGGCTTGGGGAAGGAATTTCTTGGGGGTCAGGAAAATTAACTGTTCCCCCACTCGCCCCCCGCTGTTCCCATGACCTTGGCTGAGTCCCCCAGCCCGGGAGCTGCGATGCTGTCCCCCGTGTCACCGCACCCTCGGGCACAGGGACTCCATGTGAACCCGAGCTCTTCGGGAATGAGCGGCGTCTTCCCCGGGAATGAGCAGTGCTGCAAGGGCTGGGGGCTGGGGATTGGGCCCTCCCCGGGGGTTCGTAGGGTGCCAGTGAGGTTGAGGTCGGGGGAGATGCACCCCAAAAGCAGAGAGGGGCTCCCTGGCTGCTGACAGAGCTCCTGGCGCTCTTGGGGCCGGTGGCTCAGCGTGGGGACAGCGTGTGCCAGGTCCCGGCGTGACCACACACACGTGGAGCCCGTGGGGTGACGGGTGTGGGGCAGGGAGACCGGTGACACCGGGGTGCTCCCGCCCCTATGGCTGGGGCTGGCGGCTGCTGAGAGATTGCAAGTAATGCCTGCACCCTGCAGCCTGCACCCCTCATCCCACCCTACACCGGCTCGGGGCACCCAAAGTCCCTCGGGAAAGACTCTGCGGCTGTTTCCTGCCGGGGGAACAGGGAGGGACAGGGTGCCACCCGGGTGGGGACACGACCCCATGTCCCAACACTCCCTTTCCTGCCCATCCCACGAGGATGAGGCTTCTCTCCGGCATTTCCCACCCTGCAGAAGCAAGGAGCAAACCCCACAGTACTTCAGGGTGATTCAGGGGTTGTGCTCTGGCCGTGGGTGCCCTCTCCCCATCTCCACCTTCCTGTGCCATCCTGGGCTCCCTGTCCCCATCAGCGGTCCCATGTCAGGTACCTGGTGGCTCTGGGTGCCCGTGGGGCGCTGTCCCTGGAGAGCTCAGGGTGCTCAGCCCGCCCTGGGAGCCCGGAGGATGGCACAGGGTGCCCCGGCACCGGGCGCGTTGGATCCCAGCGGCCGGCGGCAAGGGCGGCGGGAGGAGCGGGAGGAGGAGGAGGAGGAGAAGAGGAGGAGGAGGCTGGTGCCAGGGCTGCGCGTGTGTTTAGCTTGGTGGCTTCCTGGCTGGCAGGCTGCTGGCGGCGAGAAATAACTGAGTGGGAGAGTGTTGGCTGCGCCGCGGGGAGACGGGGACACCGGCACGGCACGGGGCACCCCACGGGGAACGATCCAGGGGGGCTGCAGGCTGCGGTGTCCCTCGCAGAGGCAGGGACAGGTGTCAAGGAGCCGGGCGTGAGGCACCAGGGGCACCAGGAGGTGTCCCCAGCCGGGCCGGGAGCCGCAGCCCGGGCTTCACCCCGGTGATGCTCCGTGCCGTGCCCCGCAGCTCGATCCCGAAAACACCGGCTTCATCGGGGTGGACACGTTCGCCAGTCTGGTGCACAGCCATGAGCTGCCCCTGGACCCCGCCAAGCTCGACATGCTGGTGGCCCTGGCACAGGGCAATGACGAGGGGCAGGTCTGCTATCAGGAGCTGGTAGACCTGGTCAGTGCCGGGCGGCCGCAGGGACGGGGTGGGTGCCACCCCGGGGTGGGCACCGGGCACCTCCCTGTGCCCCTGGGGAGGGGGGCAGACACCGGCGGTCCCCAGGGACTGTCCTGACGTGGGATGGCGGCGTGGCCTCGGGATTGCTCGTCCGCGGCGCAGGGGGTGGCTGGGCAGGGGGTGGCCCCAGGCCGTGCGTCCCGAGCTGCCCCCGCCGCCCCCGCGGGCACGGCCTCTCTCCGCAGATCAGCAGCAAGCGCTCCAGCAGCTTCAAGCGCGCCATCGCCAACGGGCAGCGGGCGCTGCCCCGCGACGTCCTGCTGGACGAGACCGGCCTCGGCATCTACAAACGCTTCGTCCGCTACGTGGCCTACGAGATCCTGCCCTGCGAGATGGACCGGCGCTGGTACTTCTACCAGCACCGCACCTGCCCGCCCCCCGTCTTCATGGCAGCCGTCACCCTCACCCAGGTACGGGGCACGGGCGGGCCGTGCCCAGCTCGTCCTGCCTGGAGTGTCCTGGAGACCTCGGCAGGGATCAGACAGGATGGATGAGCCTGGTTCTGAGCTCCTGGTGCACACAGGGGGGCTCAGAGCTGACACGAAGGGATGTGTGACCCTGGATGTGACATCTCTGTGCCCACGTGGGTGACTCAGACCTGGCGCAGTGGGGTTGGGTGACCCCAGTCGTGATATTCTGGTGCCCACAGAGGGACTCAGATATGGGGTGAAGGGTTGGGTGCTCCCTGTTGTGATGTCCTGGTGTCCATGGTGGGGCTAAGACCCAGGACAGAGAGGACGGGTGACCCCAGTCATGATGTTCTGATACCCATAGATGGGAGCCCATAGAGGGGGTCAGATCCAGGGTAGAAGGAATGGGTGACCCCAGCTGTGATGTCCTGGTGCCCTTGGGGGGCTCACATCAGGGGTGAAGGGCTGAAGAACCCTGTTAGTGATATCTTCGTGCCCATATGTGGGACTCAGACCCAGGGCAGTGGGGATGGGTGACCTCAGCTGTGACATCCTGGAGCCCTTGTAGGGCTCAGATGTGGGGTAAAGCGGGGTGACAGCCACGGGGTTTGTCGCAGATCATCGTGTTCCTGTGCTACGGGGCCCGGCTGAACAAGTGGGTGCTGCAGACCTACCACCCTGAGTACATGAAGAGCCCCCTGGTCTATCACCCCGGGCACCGGGCACGCGCCTGGCGCTTCCTCACCTACATGTTCATGCACGTGGGGTAGGTCCTGCCGGGGGGGACACCGGGGACACCCCGGGGGCTGTGCAGGCTGAACCCTGCCTGTCCCCTCCTGTGCCCGGGCAGGCTGGAGCAGCTGGGGTTCAACGCCCTCCTGCAGCTGATGATCGGGGTGCCCCTGGAGATGGTGCACGGCATCCTGCGCATCAGCTTCCTCTACCTGGCCGGGGTCCTGGCAGGTGGGTGCTCCCCTGGGGGGGCTGTCCCCATCCCCCCGTGGGTCCCTGTCACCAGCCCAAGGGGGGCACGGGGAGGTGCATGCTGAGTTTGATGGGGATGCTGGGCTCTGCTGGCTGCCACCCTGCAGAGCTGGCATCACAGGGGCTGGGGGGCAATGCAGGCTGTAATTAATTAATGTAGACAATAATTAATTAATGCTGAGCCCTATCTATGCCCCCAGGATCCCTCACCGTCTCCATCACGGACATGAGGGCCCCCCTGGTCGGGGGCTCAGGGGGCGTCTACGCCCTCTGCTCTGCTCACCTCGCCAACGTTGTCATGGTCAGCCAGGGGACAAGGGGACACGGGGGGGACAGGGGGTGGATGGCTTTATAGGGGGGACAGCACGGTGGGGAATGCTATGGGGTGACAACGGAGTGGGAGCTATCTGCATGTTGGGCAAGGTGGTGGGACATGAGTGAGGGATGCCATGGGGTGGCTGGCACTGTGGGGTGGGCAGCCATGTGTGGCATTGGGGGGGGATGCTGTGGCACTGTGGGGTGCGTTGGCACTCTGGTGTAGGCAACATTTGTGGGGGATACTGTGGGTTGGCATTAGGGGTGGCACCACCTTGGGTGGCATCATGGGGTGGTTGTGCATGGAGAGGAGCAGGGACCTGAGGGGGCTTCATGGGGCACTCCAGAGGCTATGGCAGCAGCCCCCTCCTCGGTGCTGGAGCATTGCTGGTGCCAGCCCATCATCTGTCCATCCATCCATCCATCCATCCATCCATCCATCATCCACCCATCCATCCATCCATCCATCCATCCATCATCCACCCATCCATCCATCCATCCATCCATCCATCATCCACCCATCCATCCATCCATCCATCCATCATCCACCCATCCATCCATCCATCCATCCCCTTCCCGCAGAACTGGGCCGGGATGCGCTGTCCCTACAAGCTGCTGCGGATGGTGTTGGCGCTGGTGTGCAGTGAGTACCCGTGCCCCGATCCCTCCGGCCGTGCGGGGCCCCGGGGCGGGCTCAGCACCTCCCTCTCTGTCCCGCAGTGAGCTCCGAGGTCGGTCGCGCCGTCTGGCTCCGCTTCTCGCCGCCGCTGCCGGCCTCGGGCCCGCAGCCCAGCTTCATGGCGCACCTGGCGGGGGCCATCGTGGGCATCAGCATGGGGCTGACCATCCTGCGCAGCTACGAGGAGAGCCTGCAGGACCAGTGCGGCTGGTGGGTGCTGCTGCTGTCCTACGGCACCTTCCTGCTCTTCGCCGTCTTCTGGAACATCTTCGCCTACGACCTGCTGGGGGCACAGATCCCGCCCCCGCCGTAGCCGCCCCCCGCCCCGCCCCTGCGGTTGGTTTGTTTTCCAAGCCCGGTGGAGGGGCCGGGGGGTCCCCGCGCGTGACATGGGGACAGGCCACCGCCCGCCCGCCTGCCCCCTCGGTGCTAGCGAACGCGCCGCCCCCCGCCCCCTCGAATGTCCCCTGCGATCCACCCCCCCGCCCCGCTGTAGCCCCGTCCCCAAAGGATGCTTAGCCCTGCCCCGGCATCGCCAACCCCCCCGGGGTGCCCGCAGGACTCGGAACCTGCCCCTCGGGAAGGAGCCGAATGAGGGGAACCCCCGCTGGCTCCCGTACCCCTTTTCCAGGGTGGGGGCCGCTTCGTTGCCCCCCAGGACCTGCACTTTCACACGAAGGACTGGTGCCAAAAGAGGAGCGATTTATTTTTCTATGCCAAAATAAATATAAATAAAAGAAAGAGGAATAAAAAGAAAGAGAAGGACATGGGGAGAGCCCGGCAGGAATCAGCTGAGACCGGCACAACTTATTTTGGCAGTGCCCTCGGCGGCACAGCCCCCCCTCCCCGCGCCCCGGCCCCCCCCGCTTTGCTGCCAGCCTCCCTCCCGGGACAGGGGCTGGCCTCGGGATGGGGGCGCGGGGGGTCCCCGCTCTGATCTCCCTCCCAGACCTTTTTGGAGTATAAATAAATATTTTGCACACTGCGGGCTCTTGTGTCTCTGTCGGGGGTTCTGGGAGTGCCCCCCATCCCTGCTGAGAGGCAGTGCGGGTGCCGGGGCTGGCTGGCCTGGGGAGCACAGCCGGGGTCGGGACTTACTGGAGCAGAAAACTCCGGGATAAGTGGAGCGGCACCCGGCTGAGCCCCGCGGGGCTGGCAGCGCGGGGGGCACATGGGTGCGGGGAGGGCTGGCAGCACGGCCGGGCACTGAGACCCCATCCAGCCCCGCCCGCTACAGCGCGCCCAGCGCTGGCTCCACGCAGCCGAACCTCCCCCCACTCACACCCAGCCCCCATCAGCCCCATGTCCTCTCCTCCCTGGCCTCTCACACCCCTTCACACCCCTATCCCCTCCAGCCAGCCCCTCAGCCATCCTCCCGCGCCTTTCTGTACGCACTCCTCCCATCAAACCCCACCCCAATCCCATCATCCGTCCGTCCGTCCGTCCGTCCGTCCGTCCGTCCGTCCGTCCGTCCGTCCGTCCCTCCGTCCCTCCGTCCCTCCGTCCCTCCGTCCATCCATCCATCATCCATCCCCGTAAACACACTGAGGCCACGCCCACCACACAAACCACGCCCACTTCTCACGTACCACGCCCCCAGCGCCCTCCCCTCCTTAGCCCCGCCCTACGTCGGCCGTCTCCGTCCCCACCCTCTGACAGCCAGGCCACACCCCTCAAAGACCACGCCCCTTCAGCCATTAGCCCCGCCCCTCCACGCACCCCGCCCCTCCCTGTAGGCCCCGCCCATCACCCCCCGCCCCTCCAAACAGACCCCGCCCATTCATTTGTCCCCGCCCCCGGCCGGCCCCGCCCCGGAAGCGGCGCTGTCGCAGTGCGCGGCCGGAGCGGCGGAGCCGGAGCCGCCGGGGCTGCCCGAGCCATTGGAGCCGCGGCCCCAGGGCCGGCCCGGGCCGCGCCATGAAGGGCAAGGAGGAGCGCGAGGGCGGCGCGGCGGGACCCGGTGCGGCCGGCCCGGGCGCGGGGGGCGCGGGCGGCGGCAGCCCCGAGAAGAGCCACAGCGCGCAGGAGCACAAGGAGCAGGGCAACCGGCTCTTCGGCGGCCGCAAGTACCCCGAGGCCGCCGCCTGCTACGGCCGCGCCATCGTGAGTCCCAGCGGCGCCCCTGGCCCGCGCGGGACCGGCCCCCGGGACGGGAGCAACGGGGAGGGGACACCCGCACCGCCGTCCCCAAGGGCCTGGCCTGGGTACCCTCGGGACGGGACTCCCTAGGGACGGGACATACCAGCCTCCCTCCTGGCCTCGATGAGCCCAGGCTGGAACCTCCCCCTTGGCCTGGACAGGCCCGGACGTGGCCTGGCCAACCCTGGGATGGGATCCCCTGGGATGGGACACCCCCATCACGCACCTGGCCTTGACTCCCGCAGGATGGGCCTGCCCCTAGCCTGGACATCTCCCGAGCCCTGGCCTGGATATCACCAGGAGAGAATCTCCTTGGGCTGGGCACTGTTATTCCTCAGGGCCTGGCCAAGATACCCCTGAGATGGGACCCTTTTAATCTGGACTGTGTTCCCTCACTGGGCCTGGCTCCTCCTGGGAACACAGCTCTGGACCTCCTGGGCCTGGACTATCACCCCCAGGCCTGGCCTAGGCAAACCCCTGGCCCTGGTCCCCCCTCTGGTCTTGGACACCCTCAGCCCATCCTCTCCCCCACCCAACTCCAAGCTAGACTGCCCTACAGCCCCCCCCCTCCCCAGAGTGCCCCCACCCTGAGCCTGTTTTCCCATAATCCTGCACTGTCCCTGGGCTGCCCTGGGTAGGGCAGACCCACCCTGGCACAGTCAGGGTGCCAGGGGTGACAGTCCCCTCTGTGGGCAGGGACATTGGCTGCCCTATAGGGACCAGCCCCAGCCTGTCCCCAATCCATCCCAGCACCTCCCCACGAGGTGCACGCCCCGCTGGCACTGCTGGCTCTCCCTGCCCAGGGTGACAGCACTGTGCCGCTGGCTCACCGAGTCACCCGGCTGTCACCCAGCCACCAGCACGTCCTGGCCCTGCCGCCACCAACATGGGCCTGTCCCCGCAGAACCGGAACCCCTTGGTGGCCGTGTACTACACCAACCGGGCCCTGTGCTACCTGAAGATGCAGCAGCACGACAAGGCGCTGGCCGACTGCAAGCGGGCGCTGGAGCTGGACGGGCAGTCCGTGAAGGCTCACTTCTTCCTGGGCCAGTGCCAGATGGAGATGGAAAACTACGACGAGGCCATCGCCAACCTGCAGAGAGGTGAGCGGGCATGCTGCCATTGTCCCCTGCTCCTGTCTGCTGGGAAAGGGCCAGGCATGGCGACAGGGACGCTGCCGCTGGCACTGAGGTGCCCTTTCTCTCCTCAGCCTACAACCTGGCCAAGGAACAGCGGCTGAATTTCGGGGACGACATTCCCAGCGCGCTGCGCATCGCCAAGAAGAAACGCTGGAACAGCATCGAGGAGAAGAGGATCAACCAGGAGAACGAGCTGCACTCCCACCTGACCAAGCTGATCGTGGCCGAGAAGGAGAGGTAATGCGGCACCTGGAAGGCTTTTTTAGTGCCACCAGGCTGTCACAGCTCTGTGAGGTGCCTCTGCAGAGTCCTGCAGTGAGGAAGGGAGTGACAATGTTCCCCCATCCTCCTGATCTCCCACTGTGTCCTAGGGAGCTGGCAGAGTGCCGAAAGACTCAGCAGGAGGAAAACACGGACGAGAGCCGGGGCCGTGTTCAGCTGGCCAGCATCGAGGCCAAACACGTGAGTGGGGGCTGGGGCTTCCTCATCCCATCCTCATCCCCATCCCCATCCCCATCCTCATGCTCTGCTGCAGCCAGGGAAGTTGTGCAGGTGAAAGCTGGGAGGTCTTGGGACACAGCACAGTAGCCTTAATTCTATAGCTCGAGCCACCACTGCAGGGCTGTTGTGTCCCCCCATGACTTCTTCCCCTGCTCTGTCACCTCTTGCCCAGCCTGGCAGCAGTGATACCTGCTGTGCCTGTTGTTCACTGAGGAAACACAAGTGGCTCTCGGCCACATGTGGGTCTGGGTGCTGGTTACTAATCCCAGATAAATATAGGCCCACAAAGGAAGGTTATTTTTAAGCTGGATCACCCTTGCCAGGTTTAGCCAGGAGCTGCATAGGCAGAGGTGCCACCGAGGACCTGCCACAACATCCGTGGGTGGGAGTCTTTGTGGCTCTCCCTGGGGACCTGTGGACCCTGCACACCTTGTCCTCAAGGGCTTCTCTTTCAGGACAAGTACCTGGCAGACATGGACGAGCTCTTCTCCCAAGTGGATGAGAAGAGGAAGGTGAGTGTGGCCCAACCTGTGCTCCTGTAAACCTGCTGTGTACCCTACTCCCTTCTCTTGAGCCAGCACCACCTCCCAGCCCTCTTTCCTGACCCAGCTTTGCCTCTCTTGAGCCAGAAGCGGGACATCCCTGACTACCTGTGTGGGAAGATCAGTTTTGAGCTGATGAGAGAGCCCTGCATCACGCCCAGTGGGATCACCTACGACAGGAAGGACATTGAGGAGCATCTCCAGGTACTGCCGGGCAGGAGCAGGGGATTTTCCCACGATATTGTCTGGGTGGGAAGGCATCTTTTTGCTCAACTCAGGGCTCTGTAGGCTCCTTGGATTTGGTCCCAGTTACCTGCCCGGGCAGCTCCCTGTGGAGCAGGTGCTGCCAGGCCCTGCCCAAAGCGGGGGTGGCTCTTGGCAGGGGTCTTGCACCTTGACCTGCCCTCATCGTGCTGGAAAGCACCTCGGAGGGGCTCTCCCTCTTCCCACGGGCAGGTGCCCGGTTGCTGGGGCAGATGCCACATGGCTCTGGCCTCACAGCCACCTGCACCTCGGAGCTGAGCCCGGGCACGTGGAGTAACCGGTTCCCCCGCGCCTCCTCCCTGCAGCGCGTGGGTCATTTCGACCCGGTGACGCGGAGTCCCCTGACCCAGGACCAGCTGATCCCCAACCTCGCCATGAAGGAGGTGATAGACGCGTTCATCTCAGAGAACGGCTGGGTGGAGGATTACTGAGGGGCCGGGGGCAGCGCTGGGTGCCCTGGCACAGCTGGCTCTCCCTGGGCTGGCACCATGCCTTACTCGCTCTCCGGCTGTTCCCCCTCCGCCCCAGCTGCCCCGGGCTTGGCGCTGGGCAAGGGCACGTCACCATGTCCCCTTCCCGAGGAGCTGCAGCGGCTGGGCGGGCACCACGGCTCCCTGGCTCCCCTCTCCGGCTCCAAGAGAGCCTGGGGGTTGGAATGCTGGCTCCTCGGCAGTGGCCTCACCATCATGTCCATCACCCCCTCAGCCAGGGCAGCCACAGTCCCCAAAGAGCACGTCCTGCTCCAGGGATTGCCACAGGGAGCTTGCTGGGATGAGCACCCAGAGCCCCATCCTTCCCTGTGTTTAGAGTTGTCTCCTCCTCCTCCTTCCACCTCCTGCCTGGCCAGGGTTGGGTCCTCTTCCCAGTAAACAGCCACTTGCTGGGATGCTGATGCACCCTCTGGCTTTTCCTGAGAAACAACTGCCCCAGGGCTGGAAGAGGCTGCTTCCCACCTCTCCTTCCCCACTGGGACTGTGGCTCCCTAAGAACAACCACCTGGGTTAAAGTTCTTGTTCCTTTTAATGAAATCCCTTAAAAACCCCACAAAAAATAACCAACAGATTTGCATCCAACTGAGATTCCAGCGTTTCGGTTGGCCGATGGCCTGCCTGGCTTTTGAGCGCCCTCTGGAAGTTTGCCAATGTCCATTTAAAAAAAAAAAAAAAAAAATATATATAAAAAGAATAAAAAAAATCAGCAATAAACATGGAAAAGGATCTGGAGTGGTTCACGGCAGCCATTTCTGGGGATATCCTGGCTTGAGGATCAGTGCCATCCCATGAGGACCAGGTTTGCTCCAGGAACATAGCAACACACTGTGCTTCAGTAGAACAACTTTAATCCAAGGGGGAGGGTAAAGACCAGTCAAAACCAGAGCTTTCTCAGGCAGTTGGTCCCAGTACCAGTTGCCTTTCCCTGAGGGTGGCAGGAGCTCCTGCCCTGGCTGCCATGGTGGTGACGTGTCCTTGTCCCTGCCAGCCCTAGCCCAGGAAGGTGGAGATGAAGACGCTGGTGTCCAGGTTGAGTGTGGCATGCCACCAGCGGTCAGGGAAGTACAGGACCTGCAGGAAACAGCAGTGGGGTCCCGTGGCTCTGGCTGGGAAGCCTGGGGTCCCCTGCAGCCCCTGGACTCACCTCCCCGGGGTACAGGGTGCACTCCAGCGGGCGCTGGGCTGGTGGCAGGGTGGGATAGGTGTGCTGGAGCCAGGCCAGCGTCGTCTCGTTGGGGTGGAAGTGTGGGGTTTTATCCGGCGGGTACAGAAACCAGCGCTGGAAAACACCAGGGGCACATCCCCTCCCAATTCCCCTCCGGCCCCTCGGGCTCAGCCCCAGGGGGCCTTCCCCATACCCAGGAACACCTGTTAGGGGCTTGTTTCTCTCCCGTCTCCCCTCTCCCCATATCCTTCCTCTAGGGCTCAGTTCTCACCTTCCTGCCGAAAATCACCTCGGAAAAACCAGGGCCGTGCCAGTGGAAGGGAACGCCAGAGCCTGAGCCTGCAGTGGGAGCGGGGCGGGGGCTTGGTGCTGGGGAGAGCCCCCAGTCCCGGCCCAGTCCCATCCCGCGGGTTCCCATCCCACACCCACCTGCGATCCCAAAGCTGTAGGCGGGGCTGGTGCCCGGGATTCGGAAGGGAGGGGGCACGTAGTGCTGGAAGAGGGGGCCCCACTCGGTGAAGTTGTTGTCCCCGAAGAAGTAGAGGGTGTCTGGGGGAACACGGGAGCTGAGCCCGGCGAGGGGACAGGGCTGCGGGGGAAGGGACAGCGCTACCCACCGCTGCCCAGACGGGCCGGGTCCTGCGGCTTCAGCAGGTGCTCCACGTACTCTTGGAATGGCACATCCACTGCAAGAACGGAGGGATAAGCGGGGGAAAAACGGCACCCCCGCAGCCGGGCACGGCCACCGCGCTCACCTTTGCGGTACGAGTAGGTGTTGGCCGTGCTGAGCCGCACCGGGAAGGGCCCGAAGGCCGCCAGCAGCTTCTCCCGGGTGCAGAGGGCTCGGAACGCCTGCGGGATGGAGAGCAGGGTGCCGGGATGCTGCCGCCGCTCCCGAGGCACCGGGAGGTGTGTCCCACCCAGAAACCTCTGTCCCCACTCGGTACTCACCGAATTGTCCGTGACCCCACCGAGGATCACTGGCCGGGAGAAGGCGAACCTGGGGGCAGCATCCAGCGGGGTCCGGCGAGGGCGGAGCACGGGGAGCAGCAGTGACCCACCCCGGGACATCGGGACTGGCTCCAAACCACCCCCGGGGCATCGGGATCGGTGCCGACCACCTTCCCGCAGGTTCTCCCCCGCGACTCCAGGGTCTGCCCCCCCAGTTCCTCCCGCCCCTCCCCGTTAGCCCGCCCGGTGCACCGGAACTGTCCCCCGGCCCCTGTCTCAGTTCCACAGGCGCCGGGACCGTGCCGGGTCCCCCGTACCGCTGCAGGAAGAGGGAGTAGGTGAGGGATGCATCGGCTCTCTCCACGGTGCAGCGTGGCTCCTCCGGCACGGTGCCCGCCAGCCTGCAACGGGAGACTCCGCACGCTCCGGCACCAGGACCGGAACAGACACCGGTCCCGGGGCAGCCCCTGCCCTTACCAGCCGCCGTCCAGAGGGTCGGTGCAGGCGCCGGGCCGGACCCAGCCCAGCGACAGCAGCAGCAGCAGCAGCGGCAGCAGCCGCGCCGCCGCCGCCGCCATCGGGACCGGCGCCGGAGACACTGGGAACTACGATTCCCGGCATGCACCACCAACACATGGTACATGCGATCATTGGGTGGGCGCGTCGCTACGGGTCCCGATAAGGGCCATAATTTAAAGGGGCAGCGGAAAGCGGGCCGCACCTCACGGCTTAAAGTGGCCTCCCGGCACAAGGGGACAACGCATGGGAACACCGGGGACACCGCAGGGCCTGGATGCAGCCAGGCGAAGCAAAGACAGGAGTCATGGCTCGATTCAACTGCTGGTTTGTTTTAATCCAGTAAAAAACGGCCGGGCAGGGGGTGCACCCCCAGCCCTTATTTACACAAATAAATACAGAGAGGGCGGTGCCAGGGGTATGGGGCAGGGCACGCTGCCTGCCCTGCTCCCCCCCGCCCCACCCCGCTGCCAACTCCACCGCGGGCGCGGGGCTGAGGTGTACTCTCAGGGGGCTCAGGTGCACTCTCAGGGGGCTCAGGTGTACTCGCAGAGGTGGCCACAGCCGGCGGGGCAGTGGGAGCTGGTCTCCAGCCACTTCATGATGTGCTGCAGGTGGCCACCGTGGCTGCAGCCCTGGCACCAGACGAAGAGTCCCTTCACCACGTGGTGACACACGGCACACATGCTGGCACACTGCCGACACCTGCACGGGGAAATTCAGGTGGGCGTGGGCAGGGAGAGCCCTCGGGGGGACAACAAGAGGGAACAGAGGCACCCACTCCATCCTCCTGTCCCCACAAGCCCCTCTGGGCCCCCTCACCTGTCGCAGATCCAGCCCCTGTTGCTCATGGGCCGCTTGCAGTTGCTGCAGTTGACGTGCAGGGTGGTGGAAGCCTGGTTGAGGCAGTTGATGGCACGGCAGGTGCTCAGCTTGATCACTTCGTTGGAGATGTTCCAGAGCTGGAAGCGCTGCAGCAGGTCGATGTAGGATGTGTACCAGTGCTCCTGGGGACAGCCACAGACAGCTGAGCCTCCACAATCACCTTGAAACCTCCTCAGTACCCCAACCCTGCATCCCAAAGGCAAGATTCCCCTGGGGGGCTCAGCCTGGAGGAAAGGAGGCTCAGGGGGGGCTTCTCACTCTACAACTCCCTGACAGGAAGGGGACAGGGAACAAGGGACAGGACAAGAGGAAATGGTCTCGAGTTGTGCCAGAGGAGGTTTAGTTTGGATATTAAGGAGAATTTCTTTATGGAAAGGGTGGTCAAGCACTGGCACAGGCTGCCCATTGCAGTGGTGGAGTTCCCATCCTTTGTGGGGGGATCTAAAATCTGTGTGGATGTGGCACTTGGGGATATGGTTTAGTGGTGGCCTTGGCAGTGCTGGGGGACTCGATCTTAGAGGGCTTTTCCAACGTAAAGGATTCTGTGATTCTCTGATCCCTGCAGTGGGAGAATGGCTCTGCAATGCTGGGGAACAGCATCCTTCCCAATATCAACAAGGCAAGGTCACCTCCCCATCCTGGCCCTGCAGAGTCCACCTCAAGTCCCTGTCTGGACTGGTGGTAGGACAGGTACCAGAACCCTGGAGCTGCTCACGCTGGCTTAGACAGGGACTGGAGAAGGGACATGCCCCAGTCCCAGGCAGGATCCCATCCCATTGGGATACACCCCTGTGAGTCCCAGCAAGGCACGGTCCTTCCCCCCCCGGGCTGTACCTGCGTCTGCTCGTCGATCTCCTTGCGGATGCGCTCTCCCAGCACGATGAGCACGGACACAGCTGTCTGCACGTCGCCCTGCTCGGCGTAGAAGAGCAACGTGTCCCTCACGATGGGGTTGAAGAAGTCGGAGGGCAGGCGGTTCTCATAGAGAGAGTGGGAGATGGAGATGAGTGAGAAGGACTCCACAGGGGTCAGCGACACCGTCTCGGCCTCGTTGCCACTGACGTGAGGGGAGTCGGCCTTGTCCTGCAGGTGGTCCAAGGCTGATGGGTTGTCCACGATTTCATGGCGCAGGGGGAAGGCTTCCTGGGGAAGGCTGTATTCCTGCTCTTCAGCTGAGAGGAGAAGAGCAGGAATGAGCAGGAGAAAATCCAGCTGGGACAGACAACACCTCCCCTCTGTGCACTCACCGTGCGGGTTCTCGTGGTCCATCATGTACAGGTCATCCTCATCTGCCTCCACATCTCCCAGCAGATAATCCGCAGGGACGTCGCTGCCCTCTGTCTCCTCATTGTCTGAGCGCCCAGGGAAAGAGAAATCAGCTCATCACACCACTGGATCCACCTCCCAGTGTCCTGCCCCAGCATGCCAGGCTGTGCCTGAGCCACACAGCTCAGTTCCCCACCACTGTCACTATCGCCCCAGGTCATGGGGGAAAATTGACCTTCTGCAGTGCCCTGGGGCTCGGTGTCCTTCACCCTGGGGCTGCAGCATGTCCAGCCACCCCAATTCACAGGCAAAATGCTCCAGTTTATCCCAGTTTATCTATGGCTGAGGAGGAAGAGCTTTGGGACTGTGCCCAGCCAGGAACGTTACCCTCGTTGTTGATGAGGGTGGAGGAGGAATCCATGAGGATGTTTTCTGTGCGGCTTTCTCCTTTGCTGCGGTCCAGTCTGGACTCGCTGCCCAGTCCAGCAGGGATATCTTTCAGGTTAAAGCTGGGAAAAAAGCGCCAAATTTAACAGTCAGAGGAATATAAAGTTTCCATTTCAGCCAGCAAACAGCCTGGATACAGGTGTCCAGTTGCAATTTGAATGGTGCAACACGAGATACGGTGATATCCCTTTGTGGGCAGAAGTCACTAGCCTCTGCTGTGTGACTTAAAGACACATCGTGACTGTGATCACAGCCCTTCCTCCAAGCCTGGTGGCACTGCACATGCACTGCAAAGGTCCCCCTGAAGAATTCCAGTGCTAAGCAGGCTCTTGGCTCCATCTTCTTCCCCTCAGAGGCAGGTGAACAGGAGCTGCCTCGCTCCAAGGCTGTTTGTTATGCATCACCACGCTTGGCCTTCACCGAGATGGAAAAGGGAAGGGATGGGGTTGGAGCAGAGCCCAGCTCCCCAGGCTGCTGCATGCCGTGTCTCAGACAGCAGCACAGCCACCCGGCTGGAAGCACAGCTTGGTCAAGGACAGTGCTTATTTCCTTTGGTGTTATTTGAGGATCTCTCATTCCCTGTGAGGTCTGACAGCTCATTTGGAGTCCTCACCCCTCACGTTTGTGTCATTGAGAAGAGGAAAAACAAGTTTTCCTGCTTCATCAGCCCACACCGGGCTCTCCACGCTAGTGAGCTGCTAGCAGAACTGGGCTGTGCTCTCCCTTGGGAAGGCTCCAGAAGAAAACCTCTGCTCACTGGCAGTTGCAGCTCCAGCCATGAAACACCACCTCCATCCCAGCCCTTGGTCACCATCACTGCCCTGGGCACTGCTGAGGCCTCACCTCAGATCCTGGGGTCACTTTTGGGGCCCTCATGACAGCACAGGCATTGACGGGCTGGAGCATGTCCAGGGAAGGGAACAGAGCTGGAGAAGGGGCTGGAGCACCAGGAGAGGCTGAGGGAGCTGGGAAAGGGGCTCAGCCTGGAGAGAAGGAAGCTCAGGGGGAGCCTCCCTCAGCCAAGGGAGTCAGACTCTGCTCCCAGGGAAAAGGGACAGGAGAAGAGGAAATGACCTCAAATTGTGCCAAAGGAGGTTTAGATTGGATCTTGGGAAAATTTCTTCATGGACAGGGTGGTCAGGCACTGGCACAGCTGCCCAGGGCAGTGGTGGAGTCACCACCCCTGGAGATGTTCAACATGTAGATGTGGTGCTTAGGGACATGGTTTAATAGTGGCTTTGGCAGTGCTACTGGGGGAATGATCTCAGAGAACTTTTCCAACGTTAGAGATTCTGTGATTCATGAATTCAATAACTGCAAAGCTGGTCCCAGCCCCATGCCCCACCACAGCCAAACTTTGGTTGAAGGAGGGAAGGGAGCAGTGTCTGAGGCTGCACAGCTCAAGGCCAGGCTGGACACTCACTTCCCACACCGACATGGGAAATGGCTGTGTTCAAACAATACCAGCACACAAACCAGCACAGCCTGAGGCTGAGGGAGAGCTGTCCCTGCTTACTCCCTGTGTCTGGGGCAGGTTAGTTATTAAGTAGAAATTGTTTCCTGGGAGGGTGGGGAGGCCCTGGCACAGGGTGCCCAGAGAAGTTGTGGCTGCCCCTGGGTCTCTAGAAATGTCCAAGGCTAGGTTGGATGGGGCTTGGAGCAACCTGGGCTAGTGGAAGGTGTCCCTGCTCATGGCAGGGGATGGGATGAGCTTTAAGGCCCCTTTCAACCCAAACCATTCTGGTATTTCTTGATATGATTCTATAACCCCATCCCAGTCAAGGAGCTATTTCTACACCCCCTCATGGAGTTATCCCACTCATCACTCCCTGCAGCTCTGACGCCCCATACCTGTTCATGAGTGGGAGGGCAGTGCTGCCTTTCCCCATGCTGTGGTTGAGGTTTGTGGACGCCACAGTGCCAAGGCTGGAATAGATAATCCTCAGCATCGTCCACGTCTGAGCCACCTGTGTGGAACACAATCCCTGTCAGACCTTTCCAGGCTACCACCCCCTCAGCAGCAGCCATCCCTCAGCTCACCTGGTTGCGGTCCAGCCCCTTGGCCACCTTGGCATTGTGGTCACAGAGCTCGGCCAGCGGCCGGCCGGCCAGCGCGTACTGCTTGGCCGTGTGCACAAACCAGTCCATGCTGCCGCTCTCCACATCCGTCTCAAACACGCTCAGGGCGCTGGAGGACGAGATGTACTCGAACTGCTCTGTGGGGTCCAGCTTGCGCTTGAAGAAGATGGGGTGGCGCCGGTCCCCGATGTAGGGCTTGCGGTTGGAGTCGGAGGAGATGAGGCTCTCCTTGGCGGCGAAGGCCAGGTCTCCGTAGAGGCTGTAGCACAGCCCCTCGGGGTTGGCGCGGTCAATGGGCTGGCTGGCGTCCTTGAAGATGTGCTGGTAGAGGGTGCTGTCCTTGGAGCCCGAGAGGAGGAAGTAGGGGTCGTGGAGGTGCCGCCACACGATGCCCGTGGTGACATCCTTGTGCTCCTCGAACATGGCGGAGGGGATGAAGGGGCGGCGCACGTCCCACACGTAGATGTTGTGGTCCACCATCATGGAGCAGGTGGCGATGTGGTGCTTGCACTCGGGGCGCCACTTCACCCGTGCCACCGAGGCAATGGTCTGCACGCAGTAGATCTCCTTGGCCCGCGTCGTGTTCATGTCCCACACCTTCACCATCTTGTCACGGCCACCTGTGGCCAGCCAGCCCCTGGGACGAGGATGTGGGACAACAGTGTTCACCTCTCTGTTCCCACCGTGGCACAGAAATGCTCACAGCACAGGTGTGATCACATCCATGCTGCAGGAAGGCAGCTGGGCTGCAATCCCCTCCTCCCATGAGCTCCCCTGACACCTCTGCTCTGCAACAACCAGGTCAGGCAACACTCTCCTTCCCACCCCCAGTTAAGGCCCTGTGCCTCCAGAGCCACATCCCAGTCAGACCAGTTCCCTCTGGCTCTGCTTTCCACTGGCCAGGCCCAGCAGAGAGGAAGAGGCCATTCTGAACATATTTCAGTGCCTCTCTAAGATCACGAGCAGCGGCAGCACTGCAGGAGGGTCCTGCACGCTGTAACAGCTGCTTCCAGATCCTTCCCAGCACCCTCCCAGGAAAGGCAGACGGGAAACATGACTGAACACAAGTGAGCTGTATCCCAGAGCAGCCAAATAGTGCCTTCCTCAGGCTGAGCACTGGAGCAAGAGGCTGCTGTGACACTGCTATACCCAATCATAAGACACTCAATGCCTCAAAACCTCCTAATTTATCAAAGAACAAACCCCAAACACTCTTACACCACCCCAAATGTTCAAAGTAACAATCACTCCTATCTTCCAGCAACATCCCAGCCCCAGACACAAAGGGACAGCATATCACAGACCATGCTTTCCCCTACAAAATCCCAATCCTGTTTTTAGGGTCTCATGTCCTGCAAGGCCAGGTGGCTGGCAGGGCCCGGCCCCACACTCACCTGTCCTCTGGGTGCCAGTCACAGCAGAAGACAGGCCCGTTGTGGGCCGTGAACATCCTCTCGTAGCGGTCGGGCCGGCGGATGTCCCACAGCTGCACGTTCCCGTTCTCAAAGGTGGCGGCAAAGGTGAAATAGTCCCGGATGCTGAACTGGACGTCACGTACACTCTCCGACTGGCCTGGGAGGGGACACAAGTTGAGAGCTCCAGCAAAGCTAAAAATCCCACTGGAAGAGCTGTGGGGATCCCTGGTGCAGAGAGAAGGGGTAGCAAGGAATGCTGTGACTGTCTTCTATCTCCCACACAGACCCAGCTACTACTAAGAGGCAAAAAAAGGCACCAGAATGCTTCTCAGCTCCTTCTTTCCCTTCTCTGGGCATCACACCCTGAGCAAACCCTCCTCCTGGACAAGGGGAAGGGCGAAGCTCCCAACCCCTGCCTCTGCTAAGGGTGAGGGGACAAGCAAGGAAAGGACAAAGCTCCCAAACTCTGCTTCCCCACTAGAAAACAGGACAACAATAGCCTCATTTGTACCAGAGAAGGTGCTGACAGAGTCCTTCTTGCGCAGGTCAAAGCACTTCATGTAGCCGTCCTGGGAGCCGCTGAGCAGCATGTACACCTCGGTGGGGTGGAAGCACACCTTGTTGACAGTGCGCTTGTGCTCCGTGAACAGCTGGTCCTGCTTGTTGCGGGATGGCTTGCCCAGGTTCCAGGTGACAACCACGCCGTTGGTGGCGGCTGTGGCCAGCAGATTCTCGTCCATCTGGTGCCACACCACGTCGGCGCAGCTGAAGTTCAGGGAAGGTTTGCGGCCCACGCGGAGGTTCAGCTTCTCCACAAACTGCTCCTCCTCGATGGAGTAGATCTTGAAGATGTTGCGGCCGGCCACCACCACCTGGGCAGCGTCGCGGCACACGCTGATGGCGTTGGCAGGGGCGTCCAGGTGGCAGAACATGGTGCGGCCAGTCAGCGCGTTGCCCCCCAGGGCAGTGGTGACCCTGGCCATCTTCTCCATGGCTGTCCTCGGCGTGCTGTCCCCTCCCCAGCAGGCTGCCTGCACACCCACACGGCTGCCCTGCTCCACCTCAGCCAGAGCTGGCCAGGGACAGGCTGGGCTCCCGTGGCTCCTGCCGGGCCCCGGTGGCTCCGACCGCGGCTTTTTGTGGCTGCATCAATGGGCCGTGGAGGTGAGAGGCCACAGAGCTGCCTGTGGGAGGGAGATACAGCCCCACTCCGTGTTCTCCTCCTGCCGCTTTCTGTGGCTCCCGTTCAGAGAGTTCCTGAAAACCTTCTTTGGGTTCCTTCTTCCTTCTTCGGCCACACCCTGAGATGTTTTGTTGCTGTTGATAATATAGGTCAAGTACAGTGCTGTGGCTGAAATGAGCAGCGTCTGCAGCACGAAGTGAGGTTAAGTGAGGCCACGGTCACTTCCGTGGGGCTCTCAGAACCCCAAAGCCTGCAAGAACCAGGGGATGACCTTCTTTCTCTAGCAGAGGGGGGACAGCAGCTACTCCAGGCTTCCTGAAGGGATCACAGGGTCCCACGGGCTGTGTCCTCCAGAGCCAGGCTGAGCTCCTGCCACAGCACTGCCCTCCCCAGCCCCTGTGCCCGTCCCTTACCAGGATCCACAGATCCCTCATACCTCACACTGCACCCCCTCAGGGCCCCTTCCCACCCTCAGAGCACTCTTAGGGTCCCTTCCTACCCCTGAAGCCAGCCCCCAGCCCCTCATATCCCACACTCCCACCCCATCAGGGCCCTGTCCTGACCCACAGCCCTCGCATACTCCACATCCCCCTCCTCCTGACCCACAGTCCCCCAGGACCCCTCAGACCCCTCATACCCCACACTTCCCCCACTGCAGGACCCGTTCCTGACCCAGAGCCCCTTCAGGGCCCCCTCCAGCCCTTCAGAGCCCACTCAGCGCTCCCTCAGAGGCCTCCCCCCACCCTATACCCTCCATAGGGCCCATTCCCACCCCTCAGAGCCCCCGGGGCCCCTTCACAACCCCCTCCCGCCTCACAGAATCCCCTGCCGCTGCCACCTGGTCACGGATCTCCTCCGTGCGAGCCCTCAGTGCTGTTCCCAAAGCCGTACCCGATGCCGGTTGCCCCGCCGGCAGCTCGGGCCGAGCAGGCCCCGCCGCCGCCACCGCGGAACTCCCGCCAGGCCGCGCCTCCTTCCGTGGCCACCGGGCCACGCCTCCTTCCGCCATCGGGACCCGCCCCTGCCGCTAGACCACGCCCCTTCTGGTGACCGGCTTTACTCTGCCTCCAGGCCACGCCCCTTCCTATGGCAGGAGCTACCCTGCCTCTAGGCCACGCCCCCTTATCACGTCCAGACCCGCCCGCCTTGGGTTGACCACGCCCCCTCTGCCACCCTCGCCGTTCAGCTCCTCCCCGCGGTGGCAGAGCCACGCCCCCTCCCACAGTTAGACCACGCCACCGTTGTAGACCGTGCCCCGTTCCCATCCCCGGACCACCCCCTGCACCAGACCACGCCCCTTTCCCACCCCGCGATCCATCAGGCCCCGCCCATTCCATAGCGCTCAATAGGCCCCGCCCCTGCGGGCGAGGCCCCGCCCACAACCCAGGCCTCGCCCCCTCGCGGAGCGAGGCTTGCTGGGGGCGGGGGGACAAGGCGGGCATTGAGCCTTGGGGATTCGGGATAATGCGGGGTCTGGGGGTGCCAGAGGGATGTGGGGTGCAGTAGGAATAGGGGTGCAAGGGGATAAATGAGTATTGGAGGACATAGGGTGCCTTGGCGGGGGGATGCTGGAGGGACGCGTGGTGCACTGGGAGTAGGGGTTCGCTGGGATGAAGAGGGGTGCTGGAGGGATAGGAGGTGCTGGGGACTGGGGGTGCAGGAGGAGAAAAAGAGTATCAGGAGGTTACGGGATGTATCGGGTGAGAGTGTCAGGGAGATCGGGGATGCCACAGGTGCATCCCAGAGTGACTGAGAGTGCAGGAGAACATGGGGTTTGGGGAGATGTGGGGTGTATTAGGGGTCAGAGTGGGAAATGGGGGTGCCGAAGGTGCGTATGGGGTACACTGGAGGCGTAGGAGTGAACTGGAGCGTTATAGGGGTGCCTAAGGATGTGTGGGTGCACTGGGGGGCATGGGGGCACACTGCCATGGGGGGCTGTGACAGGTGGTACGGTGTGCATTGAGGGGGTGCCGGCGAGCTGTGAGGGTGCCAGAGGAATATGGATGCAGGAGAGATGGGGAAGGAGGGGGATAAATGGAGGTCAGGGGTCTATGGGTGCTTTGTGGGTCAGGCTGCAGGGTGGGAAATGAGAGTGCCGAGAGGATATGGGGTGCATCGGTGGTATATAGATGCACTGGAGGGATATAGGGGTGCATAGTGAAGTAGGGGTGCAGAGGGTATGGGAGCCACCCATAGGGGGTGCAGAGGAGGGAATGGGGGCTGTCAGTGTAACCTGGAACCAGCGCAGGGCTACGGCGCCCCAAAACTGCTGCTGTCACCTGCAGGGGTGGGGAGACCCTCTAGTGCTACGGTCCTGCCTGGCCCCCGTGTCCAGGGACACTGCTGGGTTTGGGGGTGCAGGCAGCCCCCCACCCCCGTGCCAGGGTGGTCCGGGCCCCAGCAGTGCCACCCTGTCCCGCAGCCCCGGGGACTCCCAAGCCCCGTTCCAGAGCCAGGAGGGCCTTTGTGCCGTTTTGGGGTCAGAAAGGGGCGTTCCGGACAAAGGAGGGAGCGGAGGCGGCGGTTGGTGCAGCAGTTCCTTCCCGGCCGGTACAAAGGCAAAACAAACCGAAAGCGTGTCTGTGTCCGTGTCCGTGTCCGTGCCCATCCCGTGTCCGTGCCCACGTCCAGATCCATGCCCACACTCCTCCCACGGCTGGCGTGGCGCGGGCAATGCCCTGGGGGCGGCCACCGAGCCCCTCCTGCGCTGGGTCCCCGTGGGCACCCCAGCCCCGCGCCGACTCAGTCCCATCCCGGCTCAACCCAGAGGTCCCCCCGGTTCCCCGCTTGCCGCTGGCATCGGGGCGATGGCTTTTCAGCTGGAAGAGCGGTGGCGGTGGCAGTGTGTCCTAGATGCCACCTCCTGTCGTCTCTCTGTGCTGCCGCTGTCGCCGTGGTGGCTCAGACCTGGCCCTGGTCCCCCGGGATGTCCCATCCCAGACGGATGGGTCGCTCCTCGGCGTTGGCAACACCCCACAGCCCCACGGGGTACAGGGGGGTCCCCAGGGCTACGGGGGATGCTCGCCAGGAGAGCCCGGCTTCCGGGGCAGGATCCGGCCGGGGCGAAGCCGCGTGGAGGGGCTCAGTGGGGGCTGTCACTTGTCACTGTCCCCCGGGGTACCCCGAAACCTGCCGTAGCACGAGACTGAAGCAAGCGAGCATGCGAGGGCGGCGGGCGGGCGGAGAGGGACATCCTATTCACCGGGAGAAAGTGCCCCAAAGGCAGGGCTGGGGGCTGGAGGGGACACGCAGCACGGGGGTGGGGGGGTGTGTGAGCTCAGTGACCCGCTCCGGGGGCGTGAAGGGACCCATCCAGCCTCCGCCGCCACCCAAAAATAAGCATCCTTCTCTCGCCCATCCCTGGGAGCATCCTTTGGTCCCCAGGAGCATCCTTGGTGGCGGGGCCGTGTTCCCGCTCGGTTCCGGGGCGGGGGGAGCAGGATGCGGCCGGAGGGGGTCACACAGCGTCGCCTTCCCACTTTGGGCTTCCATGATGTTCATTCGTCTGTCCGGAAGGGATTGGCAGGACACCGGGAGGAGCACGGGCGATGGCGGCGGCGTGGGGGGAATTTACATGGTACCCGGGGGAGCTCCGGCCAGGGGCGACGCCTTCCCCCATCTCCCCCCGGAGCCCCGCGTCCCTCGGGGGTGTCGATGCGGGGGATGTCCGGTCTCAGTTGGAAATGGGGGCGTCTCTCGAATCCCCCAGCAGCCGGAGGGAGATGGGGTGGGCGATGGCGGCCGGGGTGGGCGCGGGAGCGGGCGGCCGGGTCCGGCGCTACTCGATCACCATGCAGCACGGGAGGTGCTGGGAGAAGTACTTGAAGAGCTCCGGGGTGGCCCCGGGGCAGTTGGTGAGTTCCAGCTCCTCCAGCTCCTGCAGCTGCACCAGCCCCGACAGCCCCGTGGTGGTCAGCAAGGGGCAGCCTGCAAGGAGACAGACAGGGTGCACTGTCAGCTCAGAACACAGCGCCCCCCAAAAATTAGCATCCCAAAAAAATAGCATCTCAAAGGCACCAGCGTCCCAAAACACCAAATTCCCTCCAAACAGGACCAAAGGATCAGGACCTCAAAATCCCAGCACCTCAAAACTCACCACACCCAAAAGAACCAGCGTGCTAAAAAAAGGTACCCCAAAAACCCCAACACTCCAACAAAACCTCCAAAACGTCAGCGTCCAAAAAATCCAGCACTCAAAAATGTACACAAAAAGCAGTACCTTAAGGCACCAACACTCCAAAATACCAAGACCATCAAAATTAGTACCGAAAAAAACCACCAGAACCCAGAAAACCAGCATGCTAAAGAATAGTGCTCCAAAACACCAACACTCCAAAAAGCAACACCCAAAACACCTGCACCCCAAGGTCAGCCTAAAAACCTAGCATCTCAAAGCACCAATATTAAAAAAAAACAAGCACTCCAATAAAGAGTGCCCTCCAGAACAGCTCCTCAAAAACCAAGACCCCAAAAAACCCGAATCCCAAAAACATAGCTCCCAAAACACCACCACCCCAAAAAAACCCATCATCCCAAGAGCCCAGCTGTGGATCTTTCCACACAGGCTCGGCTGTGTGCAGGTGCCTGCTGGCTTGGGGGGATGCTTGCTGTCCCCAGGGCCCTCTGTCCCCATGCCCTGTGCCTCCCCAGCCCCATGGGCTCTCTGGTCCCTGGTAGCAGCCTGAGGGTCTCACCTGCCAGCGAGAGGAGGCGCAGGCTGCCCATGCCCAGGAGGTGCTTCAGGCCAAAATCCTGCACCTGGAAGAGAAGATGGGATGTGGATGAGGCGGGGACAGTGGGGACAACCACAGCACCAGGGCTCAGCACTGCTGAGCTGGGGTAGGGCTGGGAACCTGAAGCAGGGTGCAGGATGCTGGGGCAGTGTGCTCGCTCTGGGTGCCGGGGCAGGGAACTGAGATGGGGCAGGGCGCAGGGAGCTGGGTGCTGGGGAGGGGAGCTTGAGCAGGATGTGGGGTATTGCAGCAAGATGCTGGGGCTGGATTGTGGGTGCAGGGCCGGGCTACTGGATCTGGATTGTGCAACAGGGAGCAGGGAGCCAGGGCAGGGAGTCTGGTGCTGCAGCGGGATACTGGGTCTGGGGTACTGTGCTGGGGCAAGGATGCAGGGTCAGAGTGCCAGGGCTGAGTCCTGCTGAGCTCACAGGAACTCTCTGCTTCCTGGCACCAAGTCTTGGGGTCTTCAGCCAGCCCCAGGAGCCCACCCTGAGCTCATGGCCCATCCCCAGGGAGATGCCACCATGCCCTCTCTGCCGCGCCGAGCCAGGATGGGCACAGCCATGTTCCACACCTACCTGGCAGCACCAGCGCAGGTAGAGGCTCCGCAGGGATGACATGGTGGACAGGTAGCTGAGGCCGGTGTCGGTGATCCGCACGCACCTGCCAGGACACGGGGTGTCAGAGCCAGCTGGTCACCCATGGGTGTCCCCAAACCATGGCCCCCATGCTGCACCCTCTGCTTCCAGCGTGGCTCAGCATGGCATGGCTTGGCACGGCATGGTTTGTCATGGGGTGATGTGGCACAGCACAGCTTGGCATAGCCTGGCATGGCATGGCATACATGGCATGGCATAGCTCAGCATGGTATGGCATGACTTGGCATGGTTTGGCATAGCTTAGCATGGCATGGCATGGCCTGACATGGCTCAACATGGCATGGCATAGCTTGGCATGGCACAGCTCGGCTCAGCACAGCCCTTTACCTGTCGAGCACCAGCTCCTCCAGCTTGTGCAGGTCACAGGCGATGTACTCCAGGGCCATGTCGGTGATGCGGGGGCACCAGGACAGGTCGAGGCTGCGCAGCTTCCGCAGGTTCTCGGCCACCAGCTCCACACCGTCATCCGTCACCTTGGAGCAGCCCGAGAGGCTGAGGACGCTCAGGTTGGGCAGGC